GTGGGATGGACACAGGAGTGACAGGGCACCTCTGTGCCCTCCAGCCTTTCTGGAGACCACGCTCAGCCCGGTGTGGGACAGGGAGAGTGATCACTGCAGAGGCACTGCCAGGGTGAAGTGCTCCTCGTGGGATGGACACAGGAGTACAGGGCACCTCTGTGCCCTCCAGCCCTTCTGGAGACCACGCTTCAGAGGGATGTCTGCTGGTGAGGGCTGCACAGACATCCCGAGCTGCTCTCACAGCAGCAATGAGCTCCATGGTTAGAGCAGCGTCCTGCAGGGACTCAGGAGGATTCCCTGCTTCTTCTGCCAGTGCAGACTTCTGGGATGTGGGTAAGTAGGTTCTGATGGATGAGAAGCACTGTCACAGCACAGATATTTCCCCTTTGAGCTGGTCTGACTGATTTTCCTGCAATGACAAAATAAGTTCCATGGCTGACGATGGTTCAGCTGCAGTGGGAGACAGTGTAGAGGTTAAATCCAATTCTGTTTATTCCACATCCCAGTCACTTGCAATTCTGGATGGAGTCCTGCTACTTGGCAATCACTTTAACATCAATGAACCTCTAAAACCATCTGAGGCTACAAGATTAGACACTACCACCCTGACAAGTTTATTTAATGCAGCTGAAATGAAGAAAACTGGTCTAAGGACATCATTTGCAAGTTATCTTAAGAAAAAAAAAAAGGGGAAAAAAAAGGCTTGAATTATTTGTCAGTTTCCTTCAGGTTGCACTTCAGCAGGCCAGCCAGGACAGACAGCATGAATAGGCACTGAAGCAGTGGGAGGCAAAGTCATAATCGGCTTTTGTGTTCTTTGATTATTGTTATCCAAACTAAACAAAGATTTGTGGTTTACTGCTGTCCTTCCTTTCCCTGTTTTCTTTAGATTAACTGCTGCACTGCAACATTGTGTGTATTAGCAATATTGTAGAACCTGCTCAAAAGATAATCTCTGCACCCCAGCTTAATGACTGCAGCAACCTCATTTAAAAGGAATCTGCTGCTTATCACAGACTTAAATTACAAGCCTTTTGCAGCAGTTACACTGGCTTTTAATGTCTGCAAAAAGCCATAAATGTTTTAGAGGGTTATAGAAATAACAGGCTAATGTAATGTGCTAACTAGAAATGTGCAAAGACTTGTCCAAGTATATCTGAAGCTCCTGCTTGCTCTACACCACTGGTCTTCACTTAGCAATAGGACACATTTGCAGCCCTTGGACCACTCGTGATAGATGAGGCATTGCAGTTTTACTGCACTACTGGTTGAGGTTATCTAGAAATAGTCACTGGAAGAATGATTAAATCTTGCAATTACCCTGTGCTCTCTTGTCTGACATCCAAGCTAAACACCCTCTGATGGAGAGGTGGTTGCTCCTTGAATTTATATCTTTGCTACTAGCCTGGCTTTTTGGTTTTGAGATGTCAGAGGTGGGCTCATGGAGCACAGATATCTTACCAGCTCCATTTTATTTCCTTCCTTACTGGACCCTGGTCTTTTCCAGAAGGTGTATTACTTCTGCAGCAAATCCTTGGGAATGTAGTTTGCCTCATTTTGTACACATTTCATTTCTCTCACAGCAACACTTATTTCTTCCTGCAAATCCAGCCTGCCTAAATCTGACGACTGAGCCAGCTTCCACTTCTTTGCTTATTTCTTCTCTGCACAATTTCTTGCAAATTTCCCCCTATTCTGAGAGCTAAAAATACATCTGGGTGCTGCCTGGAGGCCATCTGAGAGCACAAAGAAAGGGGCAGCCCGAGCTTCATATGCATTGCTAAGCAGTGCATGAAGAGCCTTCCCCACAAACAGGGCTGCTCCTCTATCAGGCATCCATAAATACAGAAATCTGCCATTCCCAGAAGCAATTGCATACAGAAACACTTCTATTTAGCCAGCACAGACTCTTCTACAGAAAGGGCAATTGCTACTGAGAGCTCCAACTTGTAATGACACCGAACAGGTGTAAATGGGAAGAAAACTCAGCAGGGAGAAAAGCCACACCAACTCCCGCCCCTGCAACCCGCAGAGCCTTCTCCTCCAGAGTGTGTTTGTGTCAGAAATGAAACACAAGCTTCATCGGAGGGGAAACCAAATGCTTTCTGCATTTTTTTACTGTCTGAACTTCCTCTCGATTTCTCAAAGTTGTGTTCTTCTACCAAAGCTCTTGGGAGCGCTGGCTTTCACAGCCACCACTGCTAAGGGGGAGATGAAACCAAGATCCTTCCTCGCTATCCACGTGGGACTCTTTGTCCTACATACATGGAAAACATGACTTACTAGGTAAAATCTAAACCCCTCAAACTAGTTCAGATCCCCAAAAGATGACTGTTCAGATAAAATGTTTATTATAGAAGGGCTGGTGAAGTCCCCTTGCTCTCATTTATTACTGCTGTGTTCAGAACAAACCACATGATGTCATTGAAGAACAGAGTTGCGAAATCCCACATTCCAGACCAGGCCCCAGGAATGATTCCCAAATTAGGCAAATGACATGGGAAATATCAGTAAAGATCTGAGGAGAAAAAGAAACAAACAAACCCTACAAAAAAGCCAAACCAAAACAAGAAATCCTGAAGCCACTTGAAACAAATTACACTCTCCAAAACTGTTGTGTTAATGGCTCTTCACCTCCGATATATTCACTCAAACTGTGGGAGGTGGTTCTTGTTTTGGAAGTCCTTTACACATCTTTCCTCATCCTGTGGAGAAGCACTGCTCTGCCAGGATGAATGCCAGAGGGATCTGCCAGAGGCCGGGCAGCAGCTGGCAAACATCTCAGAACAGGCAGGGCCAGCAACAGGGTCAGTGTTTACAAATGATAACTCATGTGAGCAGCGCTCACACCAGTGTTTGGGAAATAGCCTGCACCACCAATCTGACCTCCAGCCCAGATGGAATTTTTACTGATTTATTTATTTTATTTTTTTCTGAACAGAAATAAACCAAGGCTCCGTGTTGGAAACTGGGAAACTGCACAAAAGTCAGCAATGAAATAAACTCGGAACAATGCCCAATTCAGACAGTCTAGGGGGCCTTCTGCACAGTGTCCATGTCAAAATTTCCTCATCCAAAGAATTTCCTGCAAAACACACAGGATGCTTTTATTACCGAGTGGGTGGCATTTGATAGAGGATCCCAATTGGCCAGGGAGGCCATTGAACCAGGCATTATTCCACTGCCACCTCTCTGGAGGGACACTGCCTGCAGGAATACACCTCTGCCATCTCCTGCAAGGCTTAGTCACACATACAATATCGATCGTACCCTGCCCTGCCAGCCGTGAAGTGCAGAGCTTAATAGGACAGAAATCAGCTCTTTCATCTTTCCCCTTTGTTTCACATCATTTCAGTGCCAATATGCCCTTTTCCCCACATACAATTATTTAGCAGCGATGAAGCTCTTGCGAATACTGAACACTGAAAGCAAAAGTTGTTTTTTTGGCAGTATTGTGGCACAGGCACTTTGCTCCCTCATTTACTCCTCGCCTTGAACACTGTGTGCAGTTTTGGGCATTACAGCATAAGAAGGATATAAAGAAGGATATAAGAAGGATATAAAGCCATTAGAGAGTGTTCAAAGGAGGGTTATGAAGATGGTGGAGGATCTAGAGAAGGGTGGTTGGTCACTGGAACAGGGCAGTGGTCACAGCACTGAGCGTGACAGAATACCAGCAGCATTTGGACAATGCTCCCAGGCACCGGGTGGGATTTTGGGGGCTGTCCTCTGCAGGGCCAGGAGTTGGGTGATCCTTGTGATTCCCTTCTAGCCCAGGTAACTCTATGATTCCTATACTTCTATGATTTATGCTCCCTGTCTGGCTTGGCTGATGGTACCACTCACACGCTCAGTGCCCCAGGATGGTTTGCAGAACCATGGCTGAGATTTTCTCACATCTTACATTTGTAACGATGTGAAAGATCTGTAAATACATTACCCTGTAAGCAGAGCCCTGGTGATCAGCGAAGAGGCAAAAAGACATAAATCTTATGTAGGAATTGTTGATGTAGCAGCTGGGCCATGCTGACCCAGCAGCTCGGGAGGTCTGTGCCCTGTTTGATGGCAGCATGAACCCTGTGGTTGTTTTGCAGCTGGGCTGATGTTGTGTGTTGTAATTAGAAGTGGCCACAGAATCACAGAAACAGAGAACTTTGTGGAGGGGACCCACTATGATCATCGAAGTCCAACTCTTGGTTCTCCACAGGGGATGCCAACTGTTCCACCCTGTGCCTGAGACTCCTGTCCCAATGCTGCTTGAGCTCTGTCAGCTCGGTGCTGTGATCACTGCCTGGAGAACCTTGTTCCACCACCCTCTGCGTGAAGAACCTTTTCCCAGTATCCATCCTAAGCCTCCTGGACCCAGCTCCAGGTTCCCTCGGGTCCTGTCGCTGGTCACACACAGCAGAGATCGGAGCTGCCTCTCCTGGCGAAGCTGCAGCCCAGAGTGAGCTCTGCCCTCACTCTCCCCTGCTCCAGGCTGAACAACCAAGTGCCCTCGTATGGCTCCTCCAGACCCTTCCCCACCATCTAATAAGAACTCTAATAATAACTGTTCGTGCTGAGGGAGGGAGCAGCGCCGGGCCCGGCAGCAGCGGGGCCTGAGGCAGCGGCGAGGCCGCGGGAGGCTCCGGGAGCGGAGGCTGTGGAGGCCCCGGCCCGAGCTGTGCCCTGGCTGTGCCCGGCCGCGATGCCCCGGCTGTGCCCGGCTGGCTGTGCCCTGGCTGTGCCCCGGCTGTGCCCGGCTGTGCCCTGGCTGTGCCCGGCTGTGCCTGACTGGCTGTGTCCCGGTTGTGGCGGGCCGTGCCCGGCCGTGCCCGGCCGCGGGGCCCCGGCGGCGGCGGCGGGAGGCGGCGCCTCTGGAGGGGCGGGGAGCGCGGATTTTGAGCTGAGTTTCGAGCGTTTCGTGTCTTTTTTTTCCTTCTAGAACTTATTGTTTTTTTACTCGTTTACCCGCGGCGCCCCGCGGAGGGTGCGCGGGATCCCCCCCTCACACCCGCGGGCGGGCACGCAACGGCAGCCGCCCGCCCGCCGCGCCGGGCCCCGGCAACCACAGCGGGGCCCGGCTGAGCCCCGTGCCCGCGATGCTCCGCGACCTCTCCGCGCTCAAAGCCGCCGTCATCGGGGCCTGCGCGCTCACGGCCGCGCTCATCGCCTGCCTCCTGCTCCGCGTCTTCAGGTGCGCACCGCCCGCGGCAGCCGCGACCCGCGATCGGGGCACCCGCCGAGGGGCCGGAGGGGGGAAGGCCCTCCTGTTTTATTTATAAGTATTATATGTATTTTACAGATAATGATGTATTATATAACCTGCTAGTGATGCGTTCAAAGCCCGGCTTCAAGCGCGGCGTGTGCGGCTGGCCCCTGGGGAGCGAGCGGGGCTGCCGGCCTGGCAAGCCCGCTCCTTCCTCCGCTCCTGCAGGGAATCGGGGCAGGAGCTGGACTCCAAGTGAGGGTTTTCCAGCGGGGGTACACCCGCTGTGTGGGGCTGGGGTGGGCACGGAGCGAAGCGAGCGAGATTCCGTGTGACATCTGGGAATACGCGGGGCTGCTGCTGATGGGCCACTGGAGTGGGTGCCAGGGAGCCGTGGGGCGCCTCGCCGTGGGAGCACACAAAGCCGGAGGTCTCGCAGCCCAGATGAGGCCCGGATGGCGAAGTGTCCCAGCTCCGTGTCCGGCTGCTGGGCAGGGGCCCCCGGAAAGGGACGGGAGCAGCTGGCGCTGGGCGGCGGCAGGAGGCCAGCCGTGGCTCCGGTGACAGGAGCAGTTAAACAGGTGGAGTTGGCAAATTCTTCCTTGTTCTGTCTTCAGGCAGCTCCTTTGTGCACGGCTGAACGCTCTGCTTCTCCTACTTTGAGCTAATTCCGTGTAGGAAGGGCAGCGCTCACGATGGTAGTATTCCAAAGTGTGGTCTGTAAACCGAAATGATCAGGGCTGATACTTTCTGGAGAAATTGACATTTAACTGTATTCTGCTTAAGTGTGAGCAGCAGCTGGCAAAGGCAATGCAAATAAATGTGCTCATAAAGTGATGTGGTTTGGGAGAGCCCAATAAAATGTTGAAGAGGTGTTTGGTTTTTTTTTTAAATCAGTATGTCTGCAGCTCTACAGAGTTGTCACATACAAACAGCAGAATTGGTACAGATTATATGAACTAGAATTAGGAAGTCTATAACTAAGGATTTTCATTCTGCACTAAGTTTCTCCTCCTAGTTCTGTGTGATCTTGGAGACTTTATTTTCCTTGCCACAGTTTCTTCTGAGTATAAAGCAATATCTTGTGTCAAGGAGACATGGCTGAATATTGGTAACCAAAGAAAGCAAACTGATAACCCTTAAAGGCCTTCCCTATACCATTATCAGCAAAAGCAGGTCCAAGTTAAAGTCACCTTGGGAAAGATGGATTTACTCTCCCATGCCGAAGTCGTCATTATACAGCTGATCAGAGTTAATGCAGCATTAAAGATATGTTAAACACCCTCTGAGATGTCGTGTGTATCTTTGGTAGAACCTGCTGGGGAAGTGGAAATTGCAGCTATTGGCTTCTGAGTATTTTTCTTTATCTGACAGAGCACTTGTTTGTAAACAGTTATCCCAGTTGCAAACGAGACAAGAATACCAACAGGTATGTTTGTACAGCGTCACACTTGTAGCTGACAACACAGATCAGTGGAGATTCTGTTGCAGAAGAGATAAGGGATTTACCCTCAATAAATGTAAAGCTTTTCTCGATCAGAATACAAGCTTTGTTCACACTTAGTAAAAAACATTGCGATTTTTTTTTCTGAAGAGTCATGGATTCCTATTAAAGAGATTTTCCTGAAATCCAATCTTTGATTAAACTTTCACTGTGAAATTATTCTGTGTTGCTGGAAGTAAATTATCCTTTTATATGAGTTGTAGAGATGAAATGAACCAGTGATTGGCCAGATACTTGTCACAGGCATTGGATTAATATTTTATGCATTTTATTTTTTATATACATCTCATTTTTACATATTTTTCTATTGAGATTATTTTCCTTTTTTTGAGTAGGAATAGATATATTTCTCCTGCTTTCAGCTCAGTTCTTAAGACTACACTCAGATTCCTCTTTATTCCTTTTGGAAATGTTATACTCTGAATTCATCTGATGGTTGTGTGGTTCAGAATGTGGTATCACCCAAAGTGGTCTGAATTTCCTTTCTCTCTGTGGCTGCTGGGGTCTGTGAAGGCCAGCCAAGACTTTGCTATTTGTCTGCATGTGGCAAGGTCTAATTTGCTATAGTATTTATTTATTTATTCTTTTTTGCAAGCTCAGTCCTGGGTTTGCTTTCTTTCCTACACCCGTGGGCTCTGCATGCTCCCAACCCAAAACCATTTCCACAACAAACCAAATTCCATGTTACTCTCAAGCAAATAGTTGGGTAGTTTGCATTACCAAGAAACACAGTCTTGCAACAGACTGTGTGTGGCTAAACTCACTCTTTGATCTATGTTTTGGATTTTTTTGTTTTTACCTCCATGTTCTGCCCTGTTTGTCTCCCCTGGTGCAGCTCAGTTCATTCCATTGCAGTGCAGTTTTTGGGATCAGCTCACAGGAAACACAGATTTTCAGATGTGGCTGACTGTGCTGGTGGATCGTGTGCCTTCTAGGGAAATCTGATAAATTGCTTTTGCTCCAGCTGAGAGCGACCCAAAGGTTTAGTTGCAAAAAACTCCGTTCTGTAAGTGTTTGCATCATGTCTTGACCTGCCCTTGAACAAACAGAATCCAGGCTGGGAAGGCTGCTGTATGTCTAGATATTTAGACAAAAGCTACCTGCTTCTTTTTCATCTCTTTGCTTTGTTAATTTTCTTCTTGTTCAGTTTTGATTTATTCCTTAAACGCCACTTTAAGCTTAGTTTTCCAGTATTAGCAAAACTGGTATAAATGAGTTTGAGGAGAGAGGTTCAAGCATATGATCATAAGATACAAGACCCTTTGTTCTATGAGCTGGACAGTTGCTCCAGGCCATCCAAGGCTTAACCCCAGAGAGTTTTACTGATTTAAAATTAATTGTGTTATAACCAGGTACAGTACTCCAGCAAAGACAGGGCTGCATGTTCCTGCCAGCAACAGGAAAGAAAAGCTCTGATTAAATTCTGTTAAGTGGAGAAGAAAAAAACCCCAAAATCAGCCAAATATCCAACCTCAAAACCTACATCTGTGACCTATGTTGAAAGCCATGGGCAGGCAGCAGCACTGATCATGGAATCACAGAATCACAGCTGGCGTTGGAAGGGACCTCAAAGATCACCTCATTTCAAGCCCCTGCATGGGCAGGGACACCTTCCACTGTCCCAGGTTGCTCAGAGCCCCATCCAACCTGGTCTTGAACACTTCCAGGGATGGGGCAGCCACAGATTTTCTTGGCTGCCTCACCACCACCCTCACAGTAAAGAATTTCTTCCTAATATCTGATTCAAACCTGATGTCTTTTAATTGGAAACCATTCCTCCTTGGCCTGTCACTGCATGTCCCATCTCCAGAAAACACATGAGGACTTGGCTTAGTGCTTCAACTTTGTTGTGTACAGCACCATCCAGAGAGCAGAGCTACCCAGAGAGATCATCAGGAACAGAATATTGCCATTCTAATTCATCAGCTAGTAGGAAGCCTGGAGTTTCCTGAGGTTTTTAGTTCCTTTTTTTTTTAACTGCTAAGGGAGTCCATTAACAGGAAGTAAACTGGTTCTTATTCCATTCTGCATATAACATTGCTGCAGTTCTAGGAGAGACTGGCTTAATCAGACTTCCAGTAAGCACTCTACTTAAAAGGGATAAGGCTTTTTTTTTAGTTGTTTGGGTTTTTTGTTGGTTTTTTTGTTTGCTTTTTTTTTACTTTCCAGGGGATGTTCCCCTCCCTCTACATCTCTTAGCAGGAGGTAAAAAACACAGAGACCTCTCTCTCTGGGTCAGGAAAAGAATCATCTTTGAATGTCAGGGTTGTGGACTAAAATAGATTAGAGGCGTAAATAATACAATGAACCAGTGAGTTGATTCGAGCACTTACCCCACCACATGATGCCTCAGAAAGGAGGATGAAGTGCTGCATATGACTGCTGCTTGATCAAAATAGCCTCTGGTCAAAGTACAGCCACAAAGGCAGCGTTCTGCTGTCTGTGTGTCCCTCCCTGCTGCCTGGAGAGGGGTGTGAGGTGGAGCAGGCAGACCCTGGTGTGGTGTGTGGTGCCTCAGCACTGGGTCTGCAGTGAAAGGTTCATATTCTGCTCCCAGTTAGCCTGGGTTTTATTTTCTCATAATTCTGGGCAAGACCTGTAGCATTCCTTCCGAATTACAGGGGGTGGCTGAATCAGCAGAAGCAACAGGACTTTTTTTAAGTGGAAGATGGTTTTCTGTGCTAATCTACTCAGAACCACTTCTACCCTGGGGAGTGCATTGTCATTGTGCATACTCTGACCACAGCTTCCAGCATGCTGCTTGTTTGCTTTTAAAAAGACCCCACAAAATGAATGTGGCTGGAAAGGAGATGCTCTCTTTGCCCTCGACGTCTAATGTGTCCTGATCCTGTCCAGGAGGTCTCAGAGTTCATGAAACATTTGTATTCTGTAGTTCCTGCCCTGTGCTGCTCCGCTGACTCTGCTGCCTGGTCCCACCTGTTCAATAAAGTGCTTTTCCTTTTTGTGCTGTCATTGCTGATGGTTACAGGGATCCCACTGAAGTTCAGGAGTTTTAATGTGAAACAGTTTCCTGACAGGCATGTAGGGAAACTCCCAAGGCTTTCCTGCAGAGTTAGCTCAGGTAGTTCTTCTGGTATTTACGGAGCCTGGGGGAGTTGTGCAAATGAGCAAATGAGAAAACGGACTGCTGGAAAGCAGATTAATGACAAATTAGCTAGATAATCTGGGGTGGAATGGATTGAGAAAGGGGTGGGAGGGAGAGACCTTTTTGCCTTATCAATGGCAAACAACTGGTTGTAGCAGCTTAGCCAAAAACCAGCAGCAAAATGAGCTTCCTCCCTATCCTAGATGAGTACCATCATTAAGTGAGGTTGTGGGGATTAATAGGTCACTGTAAAGTGAGTTCTGCTCCAGATCCTCTTAAAAATGCAGCCCAAATAGACTAATTAATGGCTGGAGGCAAAAGGATTCTAGTTTCCCATTTCTAAAAATATCTGTTCTGCAGTAATTTCTTCAACCACTCCATTATTAACAGTTTTAAGATGAGCTCTGTGGAACAAGTTACATTTTCTAATGGAGGGAATGAGGGAGGAGGGGTCTCAGTAAAGTGGGCCTGATACTTGGGTAGGATCTTAAATGGAACCCATGGAAACCCCCTGTAGCCTGCATGTGAGTGCAAAGTGGTAAGTAAGGCTGTGCTTGGTTAGTTCTGACGGGTTAGTCTTGGTCTATGTTTAGGCTTCCCAGCATGAGTCAGTATTTCATGTAAAAACAATGTTTTACTTGCAAGAGGAGACCTCCTTCACTTTGCTGCTAGTTCTTAGCAGACAAGCAGAGTAACTGAGAAGTGGTTTCAAAAGGATTTTCAAGTGTTTGGGTTAAGAGTCCGGCTGTACTGGATATAAAATTGCTTGTTTCAACAACAGCACTAAAAGAACAAACCACCCCGTGCTCTGCGTGACACAGCAGCACAGATAGCTCTAAAGATTAGACCAGGAGGTGACTTTCTCCTCACTCCTGATGCAACCTCAGCCTTTAGAAGAGGGAAGAGATGCAAACTGCTTCATCCTAAGGGCTGGGACCTGTTTGTTCAGCCTTGGACTACTGCCCAAAAGCAGTGCTTGGCAGAGGTACTGAGATTTCCACATCAGAGCTGGTCACTGATTTAGGTTTCCTTAACTTTAAGCTTAGAAGGGACCACTGTGGTGGAGATGCACACTCAGGGCTGGAGTCCAGTGTCTCTGCAGAGCTCATACCCCAGTTCCTGTTGCTTTGTAACTGTTTTAAAGACTTCTTGAGGCAAAAGCTGTGTTTTTGGATCCAGCACACCTTGCATGATGTGCCAGGGCAAGGCTTCTTGATGGTGAGAGTGCACTTGGAGCTCAGAGCACTAGCTGTGATTACAAAAAATCTGCTGGGCTGCTTGCTTGTGCCTGCACCAGCTCCCTTGTCATGCTTGGCAGGTAGCAGTTTTGTTTGCTAAAAGGTGTAGGGGAAAGTTCTGCATTTTGTTAACCAAAACCATCCACTTTTCTCCCCGAAGGCTGGCCGAGTACACATCAACACGTTCTTGAATGTATAATCACAAAAATGCATTCATGCATGAGCAGTGTGACCTTCCTAGTATGAATGAAAACAGTAGGTGAAGTAAAAAAAAAATGGACCCACACAATTCAAGCTAGAGGCAGAGAATAAGTTGAAAAGCCATACACAAAGTGTTTATTAATTGAAAGTGTTAGAAAATAGATCTGTCAAAACTGTGGGATGTGCTGGTGTGTGAGCATCTCCATTTACAAAGGAAGGTAAGGCTGGCATCTGTGGGAGGAGAGGTGGTAGGTACAGTTAGCTTTCCACAATGGTTGATTATTTTTCATAGCACCTGCACAGATGGAGCCTGAAACTGCTTCAGGTGAGACTCAGGGTTGTTGCTGTGCCAGTCCTGAGCTTGGCCTGTCTGCAAGGAAAGCGAGCAGGCAATTTTGTACCCAGACAGCATCACCTCCTTGCTCCTAATCCTGCCTAGAACATTCCCTTGGCTCAGCAGGGCTTAACCTGTGCTTTCTCATCTGAACATGTTCACTAAACCAGTGGCTGCTTCAGCTGATTAAGCCCATGTCTCACTTATTGAGTGTGGCAGCAGGAGCACGTGGTGGCTGCGGCGTCCGTGTGCCTGCCCTGGGTGCCAGAGCATCTCTGGTTTGTCAGCAGTGGAAAGACTGACATTGGTCTGGATTGCAGCTGATGAGGAACTGCTCCACACACAGGCACCAAGAGTGGCCCTGGGAAGGCAGCAGGAGGGGATAGAGGCTGGTTCTGCTGGTTCCTGTTAGGGAGTCTGAATCCAACAGAGTCAGGGCTGGTGGGAGCAGCTTCAGCCTCTCCAAGGAATGCATGTAACCTCTCCAAGGAGTGTATAAAGGCAGTCTTTCCCACCTCTGTGTTTCAGGTCTGGCAAGAGGATTAAGAAGACCAGGAAGTACGACATCATCACCACCCCGGCTGAGCGGGTAGAAATGGCTCCTCTGAACGAAGAAGACGACGAGGACGAAGACTCAACAGTGTTTGATGTGAAATACAGGTACTGCTGCCATCCGTCCAGTTAGACTTGCTCACTGAGCTCTTGTTAGTGAAAACAGCTCTTTTATTTCTCTGCTGGCCTAACTTGGCAGGGATGAGGCAGTCGCAGTCTCCCTCTTTCCCCAGCCATTATCCCTTTCCTTTACACACCTTGGCCTATTCCCAGCACACACAGCTCTGTCCTCCCCTGCTCCTGCAATAGCCCTGTCACTACCCCAGGCTGTCTGCACTCCTGTTTCCCCTGCAGAGCAGCACAACGGGATACACGTGTCCCAAAGAGCTGACAGGGTTTGACAGACTGAACTTCCCCTCTCGGGCAGCTGCTGGCAGTGATCCTGTGTGCTCACACTGGATGGAGGACTGTGGATCAAGGGTCGTGGATCCAGGGCTTTTTTCCAAGGATGTGAGCCTGGGAGGGAAATCAGAATGAATCTCCACAAGATTTGGACCAGAGTGGTCCTGAGTTGGTCTATGACAGAGAGGACTGTGGGCCCTCACTGATGCTGTTAGCAGTTGCCCCTTAGCAACAAACTTTCCTTAAATATGTTTGTCTTTTTGAGATGGAAGTGGTGTGACAACCCCAGACTTCTGCTGCCTATTCTGGGCCTGAAGATTTATGGCAACAACTCAGCACATAAAGATGCTGCTTGTTGATTTATGGCATCAGGGTATCTGCATCTTTTATTTTTGTTTGCATCGAGCCATCCACACTATTCAAGTTGTGTTCTCATCCAAATAAGGCCTACTCTAAAATCTGTCCTACTTTGGCTGAAATAAGCTCTCCTAATTATAAAAATGCAGATCTTGACAACTTCTAACTGGAGATTTTACAGACTTTACTCACAGTGCCCATCTCCTAACTTTGGGAAAGGGGGAACACCACATCTGCTCTGAGCACACGTGTGCCAACATCTGAACCACACACCACCATATGCTCCAGTGGTTGTTTCCCAAATCACTGCATTATTCTCTATAAAAATCAGGAAATAGCTGAGAGCCATGAAACAATGAAGGGCGTGAGTCAAGCCTTTGTGTGTAAACAATTAGTTCTTGATTTAGAAGACTCCTATCAGTCCATACCTGACTTTTGCCGTTCCCTGTACCTGCCCTGTTTGCTCTAATAATTTCAGCCTGTGCAGGTTGTTCTTTAGGATCGAGTTTTGTTAAACCCAGAGTGCAGAGATCTGAGTTGCCATGGCTGTTTAAACAGCCCCCTTGTCCCACCCTTTTCCTTTTAACTCCATACTTTCTCTGTGAACTTTTGGAAATGGGATCTGAGGGTTTTTTCCCCAAAGAGTGAGAACAGAATCTCAGTCGTGGCAGTGGTTCAGGACAAGATGTTTAAAAGTGAAATAGTGGATGAACAAAGAGAGCTTGCTGGAGACCATTTGTCTCTTAAGAGCTGTGTTTATGTTATCTGATGTTGCTTCCCTGGAACAGGAACTCTGCCACTGTCACTGAAGGTATCAGCTCATCCTGGGTCCCCGTTCTTGGCCAGCCAGTCCTCTTTTCAGGTATAGGAATTCCTCCTTTCTGCCACAGTGCAACAGCTATTAAATTGCATGTTTTCTGCAGTCCTTGCTGTTTCAGGTATTCTTTTGTTTAGCTCAAACAGAGCTACTGATTTTGTAGGGGAAGATCATCTTACAGCCAGCCCCTTGCTTTAGCAGTGCTGATTTTGGGAAAGCTTCTTTGAGGATATATTTGCTGTGGAAGGTGTCAAGCTCTCTGGTTCCTTTGTGCAGCTTGGAGAATATATCCCAAACAGTTAACAAATCCTGTCACCAGTAAAGAGAGTCTTTTGCAAATTGGAGTTGCTGAGTTTGACCACTGACAATCCCATTGAACTAGACAGGAGTTTTTTCATAGGTACTTGTGTTCAGATAGGAAGAGAAGGATAGAGCTGCAAAAAGGGCAGCTCGGACTTGCCCACAGGGAGTCAGGACAAACTTCTAACAGGTCTTCTCTGGTGTATCTGCCTCAGTCCTCCCCTGCCCAAGCTGGTATTTATGGTGTGGGAGGCTCTGAGCTGGTTTATCTGAGATCCCCTCCCATTGCTGAAAGATCTGTGCTGGCACTTGCATCTGTATTTGGGGGAGTAATTGAGATTCTGTGCTCTCTCCCCATGTAATGCAAACAGCTCTTTAATTAAAAGGCAGTTGGTGTGGAGCAGCAACAGGGGAGAAGCGACATTTACCTCTCCAATTGCTTCTCGTGCAGTTAATTTTCTTTCCTTTAATGCTCTGTCCTTGTGCAGATTTGTTTCCAGTCTTACATGAAGCATCAAAGAACAGCAGACAGTGTAAATTGGGCTGTTGGATGAAGGTCGTTGCTATTTTTTTGTATTTTTTTTTCAGGATGCTTTAAAGTTTTAGGCTCCCAGTAGTTCCCCCCCTGGCTTCCCTTGGGCAGTGGAGCAACAAGAAATAACCACCTTTCTCCAGTAAAGCAGGCTAATGAGACCACTTCAAAATCTTACCCAAACACAGTCCTTTCTTTAGATGCAAAAACCACCCACTGCTGCCTCTGTCAAATGTGTGCTGGATCAGATCCCCTCTTTGCAACCTCATTCCAGTAGCAGGGAAGCAGCTCTGTCAATGGCCTCTAATCCTTCAGGCACAATTTCTGTGTGAAAAGAGATGGAAAGTATGAAACAAAGATTGTCACAGAGTAAAAGTGCCAGATCACTTGGACATTGATAACTCCTTAAAAAGTTTCATGGAAACCACTGTTTTAATATGTGTGTTTCTGTATGTATTTGCTCTGCTGTAGAGGGAGGCATTTGGACAAATACTTCAGGAATTGTTTTGAAATTACTATAAAGCTACACAAAGTAAGCAAATGGAAAGAGTGTTTGTTTCTTGATCACCGATTCAATCTGTGCTGAAAGACAAAAGGCATTCTTGTCCCATTGATTCCTGGATAATATCAACTATATTGGTCATAATTTCCCAGATGTCAGATGGTTTTTCAGGTTTTATGATGGGATTTGCTGCACATCTTCAAAAATGAGTTAGTGGAAAGCTAGATCCCACTCTCCATATGTGCTTTTTCTCATCCTACAAATAGATTTTGATTTGAAGATTTCCCTCTCCTCTTTGCTCCTTTAGCTCTTTCTTTCAGGAGGGCAGGGGGAATTTCACGGGTTCTGTGATCTCTGTGATGGAGCTAAGCCATCGATTCATCAGGCATTTGGCACTCAGGGATACTTGAGTAGAGAGCAGTGAAGTAAAGTAGGTTACAGGCAAACATCCCCAACAAACTGGTGTCCATCCCCCACCACACAGCATTCTGCTTATTTTGTGCTATAAGAGAAAAGAGATTAAAACAGATGCAAAAAGAACTAGTTTCTGAAAAGGTAAATAAAATTGTTAGCTTGTTAAGCTTATTAACTCTAGCGAGGCTCATTGGGGGATTTCTTGTCAGCTTCAATAGGAAACTGAAAACAGGTTCTGAATAAATTCCGTGGCGCCTTGCACATGAAAGGCTTTGAAAGCACTTCAGTAATCTGGGATATCAGCAGTGACTCCTCTCCCTGCTGACTTGCAGCTGTTGGAGGCAGTGAGTTCTGCTCTTGCTTCGCTTGCTGGGCGCAGCTGGGGGAATTTCACAACTGTCCTGGGCCATATGTGACAGCCCTGAGCTGGGGGAAGAACTTGGAATTTCAATGCCAGTCCTGGTGTCAGGCTCCTAAATAAATACAGATAGAAAGTTTTTCTTGGGGCAGATTGAAGCCTCTGTCCTTCCTGTTGGCTGAGTAAAATTCCTCAGTTTGTTTTCCCTGTGGATTGTCATTTTTCCTCTAACGGCAGCAGCAGCACCGGCAGAACGCAGAAGTGGTTTAGGAATGCATCTTACAAAGTGCTCTTGAAAGGAGAAAGATTTATGTGTAAGGAGCAGTGGCAGGCTGAGGGAAGAGGACAGGAATATTTATTCAACCACTGTGGGTCTAAAGGGCTTTTGAGAGCTTGCAGGATGTTTTAGAGGAAAGATACACCAGATGTAAGGGCTGGATTCTGGATTCATCCCTTTTCCAGGCACTGATAGCATTGAACTGTAGAGAAACATCTTCAGCACACTTGCAGGGCTCAGCCTTTGATGTACCCAAGTCTTGGGAGTCTCTGTAAAATATGGGTTACACTACTGGTGCCTTCTCTAGGACTACATCCTTTCCAGATCCTGGCTGCGTGTGCAGCTCTGAATGGAGCGTGGAATTGTTCTGTTTGTTACTGCGAGGTGTTCACTCTCAAGGGAGCAGCTCTAATGGATTTTTTTTCCAGTGAAAGCTGCAGGCAATTCTGGATGATGCCAGGTGAATTGTACTGGCGTTTATAGCAGCTTATTTTTTTTTCCCCAGCAGGCAGCAGTGACAAGTTGTGTGTAAATGGAGGGGTATCATTTATCCTCATCTGAAGGGGGTGCAAATCACCAACACAGGCAGCAGCTCACTATAAATACAACAAATTGCCAAAGCTTTGGTGCTGCTGTTAAGGATTTCCCATAGGCCCACAGCAGGGTAGAAAAAGAGATAGTCAAAAAGCAATTTTTGCTGGGTTTTGAAGGCCAGTTCTTTCCTGATGCTAGTGTGACAGTTGTTGTAGAGCGCATGTTCTGCTGCTCTTGCAGTCCTGTGGGAGGGCTCTTGCCTCCTTCCTGCAGTGTAACAGGCTCCTGTTAAGATTTTTTTGAACCCTGAAGCAGTTAGGAAGTCAGGAGGCACATCCATAGCAAGGAGGATGGTCCATGTGTGTTGGTGGGTAAGGGGTGCACTGGTGTGTAAAAGCTGTGAGGTGCAGAATGCAGTTTCATGTGCCTCCCTGTGCACATTCCCTTCTCTGCTCTGCACAGTGACTGGCCACAGGATCTTCCAGCATCTGACCTTTCCCTCATCTAACTCTGCTTTTGTCTTGCCTTGGTCTCTCTTCTCTGGCATGCACTAACATCCCATCACTGCCACCAGATACACAAACTGCTGGAATCAGTGGCAATCCCAGTGGATGATACTGCCTTTTCCTTTGTGGCTGTTGTGATTTTTTTTCTCCACTTCACACATGGGTTTTCATCTCTGCCTGTGAGTAATTTAAATTGCAAATCTCCAGCTGTACTAATTCTTCTGCTTTCCAGGTAAAGCAGCTCCGTGGAGCGCCGGTGCCCTGCGAGACATCATTCTGCTGTCGAGGGACCTGCTGAACCCAAAACTGTGAAAGGGGAGGCTTTCATCTCTGCAGCACTACAACCTCACCTCCTCGAGGTGCTGTTTGTACAGAGACTGTGGATCTTCTGACTAACACAGCACCATTTGGCTCCCTGGTGTCCCAGCTCCTGCGTTGGAATGACCAGAGTTCCTCTTTGCAAACTGGGCTCCCTTGCTTTAGGAGGGCTGCAGTGTCACCAAAGCATTACAAGGTGCAGCTCCTTACGGTCTAAATAAGTTTTGCAGAAGGAAGAATACAAGGAAGATTAAACTGAGCTGCCCCAAGGACTTATTTTCTAAAATCCTAATTCAACACTTCAGTCACTGTTAAACTTCAGTCATTGTTAAATGGATCATGTGTTTAAAAAAAATCAAGAAGTATTTTTGGGCCTTACAGAGGTGACTTAGGACTTAAGATGGTAAAAATGTAAGCCATGCTGAAATGCCACACTATGTTTGGTGTAGGGTTTGGGTGGGAAGGGGTTGGGAGGTCGACTCATGTAGGAAATTTTCTTGACTTGCTACTGATTTTCTTTTTTAAACAACAATTGCACTAAGTTTTCATGATGACACTCTCATTGTCCCAAGGAGCTCTGATCAGATCAACTTCAGTAAGTGAGACCACAGGGAAATAGGAAGAATCAGGCATGCTCTAAACTACAACAATCTTGGATTAAAGAAGATATATTTTTGTAATTTTCTGCCCTTCCACTGGGACTAAAACCAGTGTTTTGTACTGTCCTGTGCTGACTGTAACTTGTCTACAATTCATTACCTTTTTCTAAGCAAAGTAAGTCCTCATGTGGAATGATTGGATTGCAGAGAGAACATGTCTTATTTTTCATGGAAGCTTCATGTAAGTGATCTTTTTCTCTGTCAAACTGGAAGTTTTCCCTTACTACTACCTGCTTGACAAAGCTCATTGAACTCAAGGATGATTTTTAGCTGTTGTTCCCTGCTGTGCTTTGTGCTGCAGAGGTCAGAGCTGTGGGATGACGCTGTGGGAATCAGATTGCTGCATCTGGAAAGGTTGGGCTTGGGAGACCACAGGCATCCAGGCAATCCAGGCCAGCGGTGGAAAGGGCAAACCTAACTGGGTTAGTTCTTTACTTTGTGGTTTTCCTTTAGAGTAACCACAGATGAATTTCAGACTTTGCTGTTTACTGCACTCCTCAACACCTTCTATTTTGGGTTTTTAAACCTAACTGGGTTAGTTCTTTACTTTGTGGTTTTCCTTTAGAGTAACCACAGATGAATTTCAGACTTTACTGCACTCCTCAACACCTTCTATTTCGGGTTTTTAAGCTGGCTGAAACCTTGCTTTTCTTGGGGAATGCATATTTTCCAATTGTTTTAGGATTGTCCCACTGTTTGCTTGACCCTCTCCCAGCCTTGCAGTTGCAATCCCTCAAGGAGACTGCAGTTTCTGGCAAAGCACCAGCCTTGAAGCAGGCTGCCACTTTTGGGATTTTTATCTGGTTTTTTTAAGCCCTATTGAGATTTGAGGCTTCTTGAGAAACCAAACTGCTTTGTCATGATACCACGACCTGTGCCAGTTCTATGTGGTTCCCTTTGGCCCTTCAGTCAGTAAAAGGAAGTGAAGGGGAATTTTTTTTTTCCTTTCCAGCAGCCTTGTGCATTCATCCCAGCAGCTGCCATACCACAGCTTGCTTTCCCCTAGCTGTGACTCAGCAAAGGCTTTGCAGACAGCCAACTCAGCCTGGATGGAAAAATCCCAAAGCAGACTGTTGTGTTAATATTAGTCATCAAGGCAATATAAAATGCTCTGTTATTTTCATTCATGGAATAGTTTGAGTCATTCTGTGCCTCTGTTACCAAGCAATATTTGACATGTCAGCTGTGAGGTGAGCATGGGCTGGGCAGGTTGTTCTGGCTGGCAGGAGCCACAGGGAGCAGAGAGTGGAACGATGCTGCAGGTTCAGGTGAGGTCTGGAGCTCTTTCCTCACCTCAGTAAAGCAGGTTTCAGGCTCTGGGCTGGATGCCTCAGAGGAAATACTGGGTTTCTTCAGGGCTGCAAGATTTAAAGGCTGGGAATTGAACCTCGTGGGCAGACCAAGCCCTTTTGAAGTCAGAGAAGTGGCAATGCTGAGAGGAGAGAGGGAGGTTAAAAGCTTCTGTTGGCATTTGCAGAAGGAGGGGACAGGATGAGGTGGCTGCCCTGTCTGTGCAGGCACCATGGCAACGTGTTCATGCCCACTCTCCTGCCACACTCGTTAAGCTGAGCATCAGGCACTCAGAGTGGAGAGAGGGAGTGAAACCATCTCTTTGCACAAAAGAAAGGCAAGACCAAGTTATGTAGGAGAGAGATGAGAAGAAAATATTCATGGAGGGCACTTCTGCCTTCTGAGCAAGTCAGTTCTTGAAATCAGTTTTTGCAGCAGCTTCAGGTCACTTGCTGAGTTAGTCTGGCAAAGGCCTTCTGCTCCCCTTGCTTGTAGCTTAAAAAAAACCAAAAAAATCCCACTGTTGTCACAACATGGCCAAATCTCAATGGTGGACAGGGACCAGGTATTTAAGATGTTGAAGATGGAGGTGCTCAACAGCAGCTGGGATTTCCTGGCTCCTTGAGGAAGTCCCAAACTGTGTGCCATAAGCTGAAAAGTGCTTATAGGGAAGCAGCAGCTGCTTGGTGGAAATAAAAGGTCAACCTGACCAGTTGCTCACAGTCATGAAAATAATCCAAATGCTTTGTCTGATACTCAGTTGCTGTTGCAAATGTGAGGCAATGTTTACCTCTACAAAACTTGCTGTATGTGATTTAAAGTGTCTGGTTAAATATTCTATAGCTATATTTAGTTAAGATTTTAAGAGCACTTGACGTGACTCATCTAATAGTATATATATTAATATTTTTTTAATTGTAGAAATCAGTTTAAAACATAGTTTTAATAATTTGAACTGTTTGGTTCAGGTAGTTCTAGGAGTCCATCAGAGAAGAAATAGCCATTAACCACTACATGAGTTTTTTACCTTAATGTTCTGTGTATCTTACACTGCAGATTTAATCTGATTGTGACTGTAATGTGTCTTAGTATCTGCTGCTATTTTGTGTTGCGTAGTCAAACTTGCTTTGTTCAAGAGCATTTTAAAAGGCATATTTTTTTGTTACAGAAAATGAAAACAGAAATGTTATTACAGCTGTCTGTCTGTAGCTCACTTACTGCTTACAGAATCCTCCAGCTCCTGGCTGAGGCAAACAGAATATGTGAGTCAGAGGCTTTTCCCTTTGTGCATGTGGAGGGAAAACCCTGCACAGAACTGCAGCTGCTTTGCTCCAGCCACAGCCCCAGTCACCAGAGATTACTCTTGAGAAGCAGAAATCAGTGTGCCATGCTTACCTGCAGAACCAAGTACACAGATAGCTTTGTATTTGCATTTTCCCCCCTTTTGTTCCCTGGAAGTTGTAGATGACTGCAAACACTTTAGCACACTGACTCTGTGATCCCCTAGTGTTTATCTTAAGACCAAACTTAGTTGTAACAGTCTACAGGCACTAATGAAGCTTGAACACATAGACACTAATTAACTAAAACACTTTGTTCATAACTGTTCCATCTAATTCCATGTACATGGTATAATGTGTGCAGGGTGATGGGCTGTGGTTTTTGTTAAAGATTTTTCCTTGCTAGATGAGTTTCTGCTGCTGCAGTTTGTGTGTGAGGAGGTATCAGGACCATGTGTTCGGTTTTGTGCAATTGCTTTGAAGTTCTTTTTAAAAAGAATTTGTCATTGTGACCAAAGCTTCTTTTTAAGGAAAAATTGGTTGCGTTTGAATGGACTTCGTGTGTTTCAGTAGAAACTGCCATCATTAAACATGTTCTTGAAATCCCTGTGCTGTGTGTTATGTTTAAGGCAGGAGAGAGAAAGGGCTGCTGCTTTTTGGAACGAGGTGGATGTCAGAGCTCCTGTGTGCTCCATTATTAAAGGGTTGCAAATCCCTTTGTCCTGTGACTCTGAATCAGGGCCTGACAAGGGGGAAAAATGGTTTTAGCAGCATGGTAGAGGAATATGTTTAAACACACAAGGTCCCCATCAACCATCAGGAAGCTGGGCTTACTGCTGGGATCCAAAGGCAAAATCCTCTGCTATAGGGAAGGGATCTCAGTGCCTTTGGCTTTGTGAGGTGTTTGGTACCTCAGAGCCCACAAACTGGAGCCACACGAGCATCACTGGGCCAAGCCCTGTCCCCTCCCTGGGGTGGCCAGGTCACACCACAGCTGTTCAGCAGCCTTCCTTCCCCTCCAGACTTGCTTGATGAAGTTGCCCACCTCTGAAGCAATTTTGCCTTGTGGCTTTCAGGGCATGGCAGGACGCTGAAGTGCTGGTGGTAAGGATCAGGGCAGTCTGAGGCTGCTTGTTCCACCCATTTGGCAGCTCTCAGGGGACTGTTTTCCTCCTGGATATGGAGAGCAGACATTCCTGGGCTCTGGAGCAGCTACAGGACAGACTGGTCCAGCACCCTGTGCATGAATTAGCTCTGCCTCTCTCCTCTGCCATGATTTCTATGCCTTGACATCTTCATCTCTTCAGGACCAGTCTAAGAGTAATTCAGTGCTGCAGACAAGAGGCAGCTGCTGTCCCACCTCTGCTTTTTGAATTATGTCCCGCCAGCAAAGTGAAGCTCAATCTAATTCAGAATACCCAAAAAAATGCTGTCAGCCTTGAGCCAGCTGAGCAGCTCAGCTGGTTTGTGTAGGAAGCTGTAAGACTCTCAAGGTGAGCCCCAGCCTAACCATGGCTAAGCAGGACAGGCTGCTCTTAGCACAGGATGTGACAGAACAAAAGGCAGAGGCTGCAGTCGCTGGTGTACTTGCCTTTCTGAAGGGGTCTCAAGTGGAAGATGAGCAAAGGACCTGTGGAAATTATTACCTAAGTAAGAGCTGAAGAGCTGAGTTTGATGAAGGTGATTGCAGCTGAGGCTGTGTGAGGAAAGGGCAAGGCTCAGCTTAGCCCTTCCTGAATTTTGACATGGGAAAGCCCAAAGCTGCAACAAAGCTTTGCTCAGGCAAGTCTTAATATACTTTTTTCCTAAATGGATCCTGTTAAGGGGATGTTTCTGCAGTATCTAGAAGAGTTCTGCATGGGCCAGAGTACAAGACAGCTTCCCCTCTGCCGTGGGTGGCTGCTACCACCCTCGTACAAGCTGCTGCTCTTCTTGGTGAGTCTGTGTGCAGGAGTGAGGTTAAGTGAACAGAGCTAATTCACATTTACAACCCTGGAAAAAAGCGAGGGGGGTGTCTTCCTTGTGTCTCAGTGCCAGTGATCTTTGGATGCCGTGATACTGATAACTGCAAAATTGTCAGTGATGTGTGGTAGATGCTATCAGAGACAGGAGCTGAGCACTGAGATGATTGGAATCATGCCTGACAACGAGCTCTATTAAGAGTGTGAAACAGGAACAGCTCTAATTGCTTAAGACTGAGTAGTCTGTAACTAGGCTGCACAGAAACACTGAGGATAGTTAATCTCCCTATCAGCTGGCAATTGCCAATTTTGAAGAGGCCAGAAACTCTTCTAGCTCTGGTTTCAGACAGACACCCACTCCAGGCTGGCTCACTTCTTCCATGGCCTTTTGCTCACAGCAT